GCCTGGGCGACAGAGCGGAAACTGTCTTAAAAAAAAAAAAAAAAAAGTATGTTATTTAATTCACTTGGCTTTATTCTTACATGGTTATTTCTGTTTGAGTATTGTTTGGAGAGTTTATTGAAAAACGTTTTTATTTTATTTACAGAGTTCACATGACTTACCTATCAGTTTAAAACAAATCAGGTTAATTACTGAATGTGCTGGTGATAAATTTTATTCTTCCAAAATGTGTTTTGTTGAAGATGTTGAAATTTTTGAGAACAACTATATGCTATCACATTGCTAGTTTGTTAATGTATATTTTATTAGTTGCCTCTAAATTATTCTAAATTTTGAGGACTCTGAAAGGATTCATATCTTAAGAGATTTTCAAAGGTGGTGTGTAGTTGGACACTGACTAAAATAAATGTTTCATTTATAGCATATTTGCATATACCCATTGTGTAAATCTTAACATTTGAAAGATCCTGGAAATTGAAGTGTCCAGTATGCATGCTATTACTGTAGATTGAGAAGTGAAATGTGGTAAAAGATAGCATCAGAGTTTTAAAAAGTGTAGTATCAAAAGTTTGTGATGGTTTCTGTTACTTCTTGGTTCATTTCTGAGAGTCAGGGAAGAAAGAAAGGGAATGGTTGCCATTTTATTCATACTTTCATTTCAAACACTTTTAGTGTGATCTGTAATGTGGATCTCACTTCATTTTTTTTATAACCCATTTTTTTAATAACCCATAGCAGTTATATACGTTATTACATTTTCTTTTCTGTCGCAAACATCTTGAATGTGTGTATTTACAAATGTTTTGTATCTACCAGGCACTCTGTAAATACTGACTGAATGACTGTTCAAAGACACATGAAGACTTCAAAGAGTTGTGTTTTCATGGTTGCAGTGTTTTTGTGGAGCTACAGATAGGGGAAAAAATGGTGTCTGTCTCTTTCTCTGAAATAAGAAGTTCAATTTAATTAATTAGCTAATGATGCAAAACTAAACTTTTAAATCAGGAAGACAGAGTAGAAACAGAGTATCCTATTTTATTATGGTTTTCCTTCATGTCTGGAGTGTGCAGTAGCCAGGACCACCTTATGACAAGGTTGGAGTCTTGCTAGATATGTAAGATTCAATTCTTTGCTATTCCTTTGCCTCTTTATATTCTAGACTTACATTACCAGTAGTGATGAACTTACTTTAAATAATTTAGCTCTTTAATAATAAATGTTTACATTTCTCCAGGACCTTTCTGCTCTCCAGTTAAACTCAGTTTCATGCGGGAAAGTAGAGGGAGGAAGTAGTAGTAGGCTTAAAGACTGGTAGTCTCTGAGTAGTGAGGCTTTCTAATTTGGACTTTGGTTTAAGAACCACAACAGAAAAACTGTTTCTCCACAGTTTTAAGATTCCATGGGGGAAAATCTTATTCAGAAGTGGTTTTTAACATTTGAATTTCATCCAGGAATGGAAATGTATTAGATTCTTTTATTTGCAACAACAGAACTCTGGCTAATTAAAACATAACTAAGACATATTACCTGTCTTAGTCAACTTGGGGTGTGTATTATAGTCCATTTGTGTTGCTATAAAGGAATACCTGATACTGGTAATTTTAAAGGAAACAGGCTTATTTTGGCTCACCATTCTTCAGGCTGCATAGGAAACATGGTGCTGGCATCTGTTTCAGGTGAGGGCCTCAGGAAGCTTAGAATCATGGAAGAAGGTGAAGGGGAGCCAACATGTTACATAAAGCAAAAGAAAGCGGGAAGTGCCAGCCTCTTTTAAACAGCCAGATCTCCTCTCCTGTGAATGCACAGAGTGGAAACTCATTACCACAGGGACAGCACCAAGCTATTAATGAGGGCTCCACTCCTGTGACCTTTCATTAGGTCCATCTTCAATATGGGAGGTCACATTTCAACATGAAATTTGGAGGGGACAAAACATCCAAACCATTGCAGGCTGCTGTAACAAAATACCATAAACTGGGCAGCTTAAACAGCATTTATTTCTCACAGTTGGGGAGGTTGGGAAGTCCAAGATCCATGTGCCAGCAGATCCAGTTCTTGATGAGGATCTTCTTCCTGGATTGTAGACAATCACTTTCTCACTGTTTCCTTATGTGGCCTAGAAAAAGTGAGGGAGTGAGCTCTCCTTTCTTTGTTTTAAGGACACCAATCCCATCATGGGGAGCCCCACCTGTATGACTTTATTTAAACCTGATTATCAGGCAGAGGCCTACCAAATACTACCATTGAGGTCAGAGCTTCAGAATGAATTTTAGGGAGGACACAAACATTCACTCCATAAAACTTCTCTTACTCCATTTTTTAATTCTTGTTATTTTACCTCCATCTGAAGGGGATAAAATAAAAACTAGAAATTCTTTCTTTAGTCCTCAGTAATGTTAAGTTTACCTTTCTAGGGTAATTAGGGTAATTATTTGACAAAATACACAGAAAGTTTTATCTGCATACATATGTGCAGGCAATAATTTTTTACTTTTAGGTCTTCAGTCCATCTAGGGTTTTTTTTTTTTTTTCTTTCAGTGTTTAGTATAAAAGAGGGGTCTGTATTTTTCAAGTATTTTGCTCATGCTCTTTCAGCATTTCTTGATTAATATATTATTTCCCCACTCAAAATATTAGCTTTGTTGTATACCACGTCCTATTATATATAGGTCTGTTTGTGTACTTTCAATTATTTTATGTTACTAATACCAAATTTTTATTATTTTTACTTTAATATTTTCCCTCTTCAGTAGTCTGTTAGTGTTTTAAAATATTTTTGGCAGTTATTTCTACCCTGTTTTTTAAAATTTTTTTATCAGGGTTTTCACTATAATTGTATTGCATTTGTGTATTAATATGGGGAGAATTGACATGTAAATAAGTTTTCCTACCTAGGAATATGGCATAGCTGCTATTTTTTTCAAGTCAGGTTTATAAGTTTTTACAGTTTTATTCATGAGTGTTTTAAATATTAATGTTTAAAAATTAAACCCTTTTCTGCAATAAATGTGTAAAGATGTCACCCTTCATAACATACTGATTATATAGTTTATATATATTTTGCATATGTTTATAAGCAACCACATTATTGGTTCTAGTAGCCTTTCATTTCATTTCATCTTCTTGGATTTTTCAGGTAATAGATTTTTCAAATAATAATTATTTCTGTTCCTTCCTAATATTTATCGTTTCCTTTTTCTTATTACACTGGATTGAATTTGCAGTCTCAGTTGAACAATGATAATGATAGTGCACCATCTTGTCTTGATCTTTTTTTAATAGCCATGCCTCTTTCTCTTTAGTGCTGATAATGGCCACTGATTTGAAAAGAATCTACTTCAGAGTCCTTTTCTTAGTTAGATTTTCTTTTTAAATCAGATAGTAAATGTTTTATTAAATACCTTTGTAATATCAAATAAGAGAATCGTGTGAGCTTTTAATGTGATGAGTAGTCTAAAAATGTCCTTTTGTTCTTAGAATAGTCCTACTCGGCTGTGTAGTTTTCTTAAATACAGAGCTATTATTTCATAATAAATGACATTTTTTATTAATATTCATGAGACTACTTTTTTATTTGTTTGTAAAATACCAAGCTTGTGATAGATTGCTAAAATACATTAGAATACTTTCACATTTCATGTATCTTGGATTAATTTTAAAAGCTTAGTAATTATCTGTACTCTAGCATTATAGAACATGATAGTAAATTTTCAGGGCCTGATACTTTTTTGAAGCAATGGTTAAAAAACTGAAACTTTTAAATTTGTAGCTGTTAAGTGTAGTCAGTGTCAATGTCAGTCCCTTTTTGTAATATCCTCAGTCATCTCTTAGGTGATAAAATTTGCCTTCTAATTTACTTTTTTGTTTTTGTTTTTTCCTCTAAAAAAGATTCATGGAAATAATATTGCATGAAGTTTTTTTTTTAAACATTTGGATGTGTTTGAACATGTTTAAATGCATTTTTCTTGATTATCTAGTGGTACCCTTCTGCATTTCAGTATTCATTTAAAAAAATTAATTAGGTGTAACTTTTAAACGTATTGTTTATACAATTTCCATTTTTGAGTGCTTATTTTGGTTTACTTCTTGGTTTGTGTATTTGTTCTTTTATTTTGTTAGGGCACATATGTGAGTGGTAGACCTCCAAGGACTTGTTATACATATTCTAATATACTTGTCAATGAGCAGCATCTTGCTTGACTATAGTAGTCATGAATGTTAGTTTTATTTCCCTCAAAACATTATAAGTTTTGCTCTATTGCTTTTGGGAAGGAAATACGTATTATATGGAAGAAGTTTGATGTCATTTTAACTTTTGCTTGTGAAATTTTTTTTCTTAACTCTGAAATGGAAAAAACAAAATTATTTTACATTGATATAAACATTTCTTCATTAATATTTTCTGGCAATTGATCTGTCTTTAATGACTTTTCGGTAGAGATACTTGATATAGGGATCCTCCAAAAAAGATACTTTAGTCTTTTATTTGGTTTGGGAGATCCTACATGCATAAGTTATCTATTGCCGTGTAAAAAATTTACCCCAAAACATAGTGGCTTTAAAACAATATCCATGTATTATCTGTCAGTTTCTGTGTGCCAGGAATCGAGGCATGACGTAACTGAATCTTCTACCTCAGTCTCTCTCTCAAGGCTGCAGTCAAAGTGTCAGCCAGAGCTGGGAGCTCATGTGAAGGCTTAACTGGGGAAGGATCATGCTTCCAAGTCAACTTGGTCCTAATCTAGTGCTTTTTTTCACGCAACACATATTGGCATATTGTTAGTTTATTTGATAGTCACATTTGACTCTTATATCAAGCCCAGAAAACACCTGGTTCATTTCTTTTTGTTAGTTGTAAGTTTTGTGTGTGGTGCATGTGAGTGCATGTGTGTGTGTGCACGTGTGTGTGTGTGTGTGTGTGCAGCTAGAGATAATTACAGAGGGGGTCAGGAAGGGAAGAGAGTGTTGACAGCTTTTTTCTATTTTAAGAATTGTAATAGTTTTTTTTCCCTCCATAGGTGCCTTAGCTGGACCAATTATTGTGGAGCCACATGTCACAGCAGTATGGGGAAAGAATGTTTCACTAAAGTGTTTAATTGAAGTAAATGAAACCATAACGCAGATTTCATGGGAGAAGATACATGGCAAAAGTTCACAGACTGTTGCAGTTCACCATCCCCAATATGGATTCTCTGTTCAAGGAGAATATCAGGGAAGAGTCTTGTTTAAAAATTACTCACTTAATGATGCAACAATTACTCTGCATAACATAGGATTCTCTGATTCTGGAAAATACATCTGCAAAGCTGTTACATTCCCGCTTGGAAATGCCCAGTCCTCTACAACCGTAACTGTGTTAGGTAGGTATGCTTGAATTATGTATTTTGGTGATACTGGTGAAGATTATAATAAAAATATTTTAAAGAAATTAAAATAGTTGAAATTTGATTTAACTTTAAGTTTAAAGTAAAATAATTCAAATATGATTTTTCAAGATCCTTAAAATTTATGATTCTAGGTTTCCTTTAAATAAAATCTTGTCTGTATATACCTACTTATCTATGTAATGCTGCATAGTTTTAGCTAGTGTCTGTGAAAGATAGTGATGAGTTTTAATTATAATCTAAGTTCTGAGTTTCTGTAACATCTTTATTTTCATTATCTCCCCTCAAATTTTCAGCCTTTAATTAAATTACCATCTTAAGTTTTTTCATTTTTAAAAAATTGAGTTTTGCATCTGGGAGCCATTGAAACCTCATGTTTTAATTTTTCATATCAAATTTTATTCCTGCTGTTTTAGATTTGCATAACTATCTGAATATTGTGCTTTCACTCATAATAGTGATATTCCACTATTTCCTATGATACCTGTTAAAGTTTATGGTAAAATGTTGAAAAAGCTCATTAACCTTAAGCTACTTGCAGTGAAATGTAAACCAATTTGGAAATGCTGATAAGTACTTTTGAAATGATAGAAATGAAAATTGAGGAGCAATAGCAACTGGTGGCTGCTCAAATGAAGATCTGCTGCTTAGATTCTTATTCAGACAGCTACTAGTAGTATGGGTAGCTGACAGCTTCCAGCTGTTAGGTCCTTTAAGATTACTTCAGTTTTTAGGGCTATTCTTTTTGTGAGTGACCTCAGACCAGTGACTGAGTGAGGCAGTGGTAGCCAAGGGTAAGTGCTTCTTGGGGCTAGTGATTGAACAAGATAGTAGTGTGAAGATTTTTACCCGAAGTGGGACTCCTTTAATGGAATATGCCCATTGGCCTGAATGGAGACTTTGTCAGGGTACTGGTAGCTCCATTTACTCAACTGAATCTTCCTTCTCTATTTTCTCCCAGTTGTCACTCCCTGATAAACCTTTTATACTTCTCACATCACAGTGTCTGCTTCCCGGAGAACCAAACAAGTTAATAGCTCCAATGTTTAAGGACATAATATTAGTGTCTCTGAAATATAGGACAGCAATTTTGTCCAAATTTATTATATATTTTTTCATGTTGAGAGATATTTTAATATAAAATTAGATATTTGAGGCTTAATATATTTAAGACACTGCCCTAAGAGCTGTGGGGACATATAACTTACATTTAAGAGATTTATATTTTTGAGAAATTTTCTGATTGGAAGGCAAGGCATGAATATCCGAAAACTCACGTGCAGGACGTCAGTAAAAAAGGTAACATAAAGTACTGTATGGCTCACTCCTGTAATCCCAGCACTTTGGGAGGCAGAGGCAGGTGAATCACCTGAGGTCAGGAGTACAAGACCAGCCTGGCCAACATGGCAAAACCCCATCTCTACTAAAAATACAAAAATTAGCCAGGCATGGTAGTGCATGCCTGTAATCCCAGCTGGTTGGATGGCTGGGTCTTGAGAATCACCTGTACCTGGGAGGCAGAAGTTGCAGTGAGCCAAGATTGCAACACTGCACTCCAGCCTGGGCAACAGAATGAGACTCTCTCAAAAAGAAAAAAGAAAAAAAAAGGACCTTGCATGTGAAAAGAGCAAGCTCATGGGGATAAAATCACTTTTCATTTTGCTTTAAATTGTAGTAGTTCCCTCTAAATTAATACAGTACTTACTGGCTTAAAATCCAGGCTGTTTGTTACAAGATTAGTCATTATTTTGCCCACACCTACTTCTCTTGCTTCATTTGTTCTACTCCTTGCTGCTGTTTTTTCAAAAACCCAAGTCTTATCATCATCATAAACTATTTGCAGTTCTTTTGACCTACGTTTTTATGGGTGTTTCTCTTTTTGCCTGGATTGCCTTTTTTTCTGGCCGGCCTTTCTTCCATGTAACTATTATTCATCAAATCACATCCTTTTAGTAGCCATTCTTGACCCCTTTCTCCAAATCTGATGCTTTTTTGGCTGTCGTTGTTATGTTGAACGTATCTTTATTGTAGCAGTTACCACACTATCACAAATGTTTTCTGCACTATAAACAAGTGTTGGAGAGTAACTGTGCATTTAAAAATTTAATTTTATGTCCCTAAAACCAATAAGAGTTTCCAGTATATAGCAGTCATACAGTGTTATTTGAGTAGGATATAGGAATGGATTAGTGAACTTGGTAGTCAAGAAGTATTTCTTAGGAGAGGTAGTTGAGTCAGTGGTGAGTAGGTTTTGGGTAGGCAAAAATGAAAGAATTTGAAAATGGTATTCTAGGATTGTGATAGTATGTGAACTAAGGCAGGGAAAACAAAACGATATGCAGTTCACCCTTGAACATCATGGGTTAGAGCTGTGTGGGTCCCTTTATACATGGATAGTTTTTCAACTAACTGGAAGTAGAAAATAGAGTATTTGTGGGATGTGAAACCTGCATATATGAAGGGCCGACTTTCTGTACATGGGTTCCGTAGGGCTAACTGCGGGACTTAAGTATGCACGGATTTGTTTATACTCAGGGATGCTGGAACCGACCCTCACCCCACTGCAGAATACTAAGGGACCACTATACATTAAGGGAAAATTTTCTTAACCCCAGTGTTGTTGAAATTTGGGGCCAGAATTCTTTGTTGTAGTGAGCTGTACTATTCGTTGCAGACAGCATCTGTGGCCTCTAAACACTATGCCAGTAAATACCAATAACATTCCTCATTGTTAAACTCATAATGTCTCCAGACACTGCCAAGTGTCTTCAAGAGGGGAGCAGGAGTTAGTGGGGAATCACCCCCTGTTGAGAGCCCTGTGTTAGTGGAACACTGAATAAGTAATTTATTCGTTGTTCAAAGGATTTACATAAAGTATAAGAATTAAATTTTAGAATTGTAGAGTAGGACCACGTTAAAGTAACCTGAATGCTAGAACAGGGAATTTGAGCTCTATATTATTGGAAATTCATACTTTGTATTCAGTAGTTGTGCTGCCTCTCACTTGTCTGCTATTCTCAGACCCTTGCTATTTAAAATGTAGTTCATGGACCAGCAGCATTGGCATCGCTTGAGAACTTGTTAAAAATACAGAATTTCAGATCTGTCTTAGGCTTATTGAATGATAGTCTGCATTTTAGCAAGATTCCCCAGTGACTTATATACACAGTGAAGTTTGAGAAACACTGCTTTGATCACATCACGTAGAGGAATGCCTAACTCACGACTGACCTGATTTAGAGAGCAATGTGATGACAGTTGTGATTAGGAAGATGGGTCTGGTGTTTTTGATCAATTGAAATGAAGAGGTCCTTAAATCATAATGTCTCAGCTATGAGGCCATGAAGACTTGCAATTAATTTTGTAATTTCTGCCACATGAATGAAGACAAGAACTGTTACAGAGGAATAATTAGCAGAATTTTGTATCTGATTGGATATAAGAAGTAAGGAAAGTTTGAACAGTAATAGGTTTTGAAAGTTTGTGATTACAGTAATAAGTTTTGAAAGTTTGTGATTAAATTATGTTACCGCTAGTTAAATGGGCACATATGAATGAAAAACAGGTGTTGGTGATTGGGAGGATAAAATGATTTTGGTGTTAGGTTTGAGTTTGAGGAGCTATAGGTGGAAATAACCAGGTGTAGGTAGTTAGAAGCTGAGGCTCAAGCCTTGTATTAAAATTGAGGAAAGTTCAGAATCATCTGGGTAGTAGTCTTTATCAGATAAAAGTTTTTAAGTGAGATACAAAAGTAATTGCAGGCCCAGGACTGATTATTTATTTAAAGGAAGAGGTTAGAAAAAATAAGAGTTCTCAGAGAGAGTTATGAGAAGAACTCAGGCAGAGTAATATCATATGAAGAAAAGATAGGAAAGTTTTTAAGGAAATGTTACTCTAGCAACCATTTCCACAGTAAGAAGTAAGCCCTACAGAAAATGTTTTGACTGTTTTTTAGTTTCTCCTAAGGACAGCACGTAGCTAGTATCATTCTAAATGCATAACTTAGGAATTACTTCATTACTTACAACAAATACTTTAACACATTAGGATTTAATTCTTTTCAACTGATTGGGAAGAGCTGTGCTGAAGTATCAAATTTGACAAAGTTAAAGAGACTAGACATAAAAGTGTTGAGTTTTAGATTAGGGGTCTTTGATGACATTAGAGTTTCAATGGAGGTAGTAGCAGAACCAAATTTAAGGAATGTAGTATTTGCACCATGTATAATCACAAATGACTGTTTTCCCAAATCTATGTAGAACTTTTACTCACCAGTAAGAAAAAAATAGACAGCTGACTATAATAGTCATTTTGCAGAAGAAAAGATTCCAAATGACTCATAAACATATGAAAAGATCTTCAACCTCATTCATAATCTGAGATATTAAACATAAAATCTCAGTGGCATACCATTACATACCTATCAGATTGCAAACATTGAGAAGTCTGTGACAATATCAGCTGGGTGACAATATCAACTGGTGAGTATGTGGACCAGCAGGAGCGCTAAGACTGGGAGGACATTGGTACTTTGGAAAGGTTTTTGAAATTATCTGGTAAAGTTGAAAATAAGTAGTAGCAATTCTGAGGATATACTTGTGCACAAATATGCTAAGATACATGAATGGAAGTGTTTCTTGTAAAATTGTTCAGATGAAACAGGAACTCCATTGTCCATTAATAAACTATAAAGCAATTAAAACTAATAATATATACAATTGTATATAAATCCAAATGATCTAAAAATAAAAAAGTAAAAAAATGAATTCCAAAACAATAAATTAAAGCTAAATGTTCCAATATGAATGAATCTCCAGAACACAAAGTTGAGTCAAAGAAAAAGTACAAAAATACATGTGGTCCAATTCCATTCTTAAAAAGTTCAGAAACAGGCTAAACTGTGTTGTTTAGATTTGCATGAGTTGGTTGTAGAACTATAATGAAAAATAAACAGTTGATCTCCAAAGTCAATATAATAGTTTCACATTGAGGCAGGCAGGTTTTTAAGATGTAGTAGAGGAGTCATGAGGGACTTGTGAGGTTCCAGTAATAATGTTTGTTAAGATGTGTGGTGGTTATATGGATGTTTGCTATAAAATTGTTCATTGCATGTGCTGCATGTACTTTTTCATTTGTTATTTTACAATAATGCATCTTATGAAAGGAACTACGTAAGGAAAATAATGATATCCATGAGAGTAAAATGTGAAGTAAAAATAGCTTTCAAAGTAAAATGTGAAACAAAATTTGGTTCTTTCAGTACCATCAAGAACAGATGGTATTGAAAGAACCAACTTGAAATCCTGGAAATGAAAAAAAATCATTGGAGTAAAAACTCAATGCACACAATAAACTAAAGACTGGACACAACATTTATGAAGTCAGTACTGAGGAATTTACACAGAAGCACATAACAATTGCTGGAAAATGTGAAAATATAAGAGATATTGGGGATCGAGTAGATTGAGAGGTTCTAACATTGTTACTTTACCCTGCTGAGGAACTTTATTGTATTGGAAGAAGATAGGTGGTATGTCCATTCCAATAAACTTAACTATTAGTGATGGTACATGTTAGGATGACCTTGAAGTATATGTTGTAAATAAAAGTAATTGAACACATTCAGCAACCCTGATTGGTTCTTTTGGATATATGAGGAGTTAAAGGTTGAAAGTTCAAAAGGCAGTGTTTTAAATGAAATTATTGAGTCACTTATTGGGCCAAGAAAAACATTTCATCTCCAAAGCGTATGTTCAGAGGAACTTTTTTTTTTCATAACATTTTAACAGTAAGTCAAAATCATAACTTATTTTTAAAAGTGTTTGCTTTAAAATTTTTTTGCTGCAAAATGAAGCTCTCTCTCTCTATTTTTTTTTATATATGTATAAAACTTATCTTGCAGAGAAATAATACCTTTAATCTCATAAAGGGAATTGTGATCTAGTTCACAGAAATTTTTTGTATATATTAAGTTGGAAAGAATTCATCGTTCCCTAAAGGAATGTATATCTTTATCAGGTAGAGCCATCTTTGTAGTGGTGGTATGAATTCTTGGTCTCATTTGTCCTGGCTTACGATCTTTAGTTTTTCCAAGAATGTGATTGACGATGGCATTACCTAAAAAATGTGTGTAGATTTTACATGCAGTTGTCCTTAAGCTTGTGAAATATGTTTAGATGTGACTTGCGAAGATATAAACATATTCTTGTTTGAATGTAACTAATTTTTAAAAAAATATTTAAACAGTTGAACCCACTGTGAGCCTGATAAAAGGGCCAGATTCTTTAATTGATGGAGGAAATGAAACAGTAGCAGCCATTTGTATCGCAGCCACTGGAAAACCTGTTGCACATATTGACTGGGAAGGTGATCTTGGTGAAATGGAATCCACTACAACTTCTTTTCCAAATGAAACGGCAACAATTATCAGCCAGTACAAGCTATTTCCAACCAGATTCGCTAGAGGAAGGCGAATTACTTGCGTTGTAAAACATCCAGCCTTGGAAAAGGACATCCGATACTCTTTCATATTAGACATACAGTGTAAGTAAATGTAACATTTGCTTTTTTAATATTTGTCAGCATGTTTATCAGACTCTTTTTAGTTTGAATATTTAATAGCTTGTCCTTGTTTATTTTTGTTTTTCTTTTAATTTTGTTTATGTTTTCATGGAAATTTCATTTAACCAAAACATTTTTAATCACTTTTGTAAAGATGAACAGATGACTTTAAAGTTGCTCTCCAACTTAAAATTATAATGTAACCATTTCCTTTTAAGATCTTAAAAGTAGGCTCGACTTAAGGAGTTATGGCAACTTGTACCTCAAAATGTACAATGCTGAAGGACAAACAATTTCTGCATTCTAATTAATTGAACTGTTACTCAGTTTCACTGATGCTCCCCATCTATTTTCTTGTTGTTGTTTTTGAGATGGAGTCTTGCTCTGCCGCCAGGCTGGAGTGCGGTGGCATGATCTCTGCTCACTGCAACTTCCGCCTCCCGGGTTAAGTGATTCTCCTGCCTCAGCCTCCCAAGTAGCTGGGATTACAACCGTGCACCACCATGCCCAGCTAATTTTTGTATTTTTAGTACAGATGGGGTTTCACCATGTTGGCCAGGGTGGTCTCCATCTCCTGACCTTGTGATCCTCTCGCCTCGGTCTCCCAGAGTGCTGGGATTACAAGCGTGAGCCACCACACCTGGCCTTGTTTTCTTTGACTTTCCTATATGCATATTAATTAGTTTGAAAATCTGTATTTTTCAATATTATTTCTAATCTTGTCTCATTGATCATATTATAAGAATTTTCTTAGGTTAAAAAACAATATTTTTAATACATCATTGGATAATAACCATTGTAGATACAGGTTCAAAGCTGAGCCACTTGTTACTTGTGTATTTTTGTTAAAGTATACTTTCCTGTGTATGTGTTTATATATTCTTTTGTATCTACTTTTCCCTTTGAATAAAGTTTCTTAGTTTTTAATACATTCTTTGTGATTTGTATACCATTTAAAAATTTCAAGTAGTAGAAAAGGTGATGGCTGTAGATAGTTTATAGCAAAGATAATGAAAATTAGGCAGATTAGAGACATTAGGAAAAGTATTTAGGTTCTGCTTTTACTTCTATCCATGTACAAATTATAAATTTAGGTGTTTTTGAGGGAATTCTATTTTTTGTTGTTGCTACTTACTTGCTTTTTGATATGACATGCATGGAGTTTTTAAGTTACACATATTCATTACACTTGGTGTAATGGTTTTTAAAGCTAATTCCCAGGATCTTTTTCAGCCTTTATAGGGTTAACTTGAAAAGCTATTGTTCAAAAACTGTTACTGCCATTGCATTCTTAAATGCTAATACCTTCTTTTCCTAATTCTCTGGAGAATTCTGTTAAAATTTTTCTTTTTCCTTTTCCTACCTTGCTTTTACAGAGTCTTAACTTTTTTCTTTGTCTCATAAAATTCACATCCCATTTGGAAGTTAATGTATTTTGCATATGCATATGTTTACCTTTCCAGTGTCTAATAATGACTGATGTTTTCAATTTGTTGTTTTTTGTTTGCTTGAATGAAATCTTAGATATATAAAATATTTCTTCTAATGTATAATATGGTTTTGATTTATTGGCTTACTCCTAAAATGTTCTTAGAATAGTCATGACATTTTTCCTTTTGTAAATTGGAGACCTATAGGACATGTAAACAAACTTAAATATTGTCTTATATGACAAATTTATGCCTCAATATTTAGAGGTATCCTTTTGGGATACTTTAATGCCTAAACTCACAGATATCTGGACTGTTCTTTCAGCAACATTTTTTAGTACCACTTTTAAGTTACAAAAATGTTTGTTAATCTTTGCTGTTTCTTTTTTTAAATTTCTAAGATAATTGTACCTTATTAAAAGTTCGATTTTTTACAACTCTTTTGTAAACTTTGCTTTCCAGTAGAACAGTCTTCCCTGGCAGAGGTAAATACTGATCTGGTCTGTCTCTAGCTTCTCATCAGATCATATGCTGCTAACTTAGTTTTCTATGTAGCTCACAGAAAGCTAGAGTGTCTCTGCATCATACATAATTTAACACTTCCTTGGGGAAGCCTTTTATCACCTCCAACCCCATCCCCAACCTAAATTAGGCCTTTCTTTTAAATTCTCTCTTAGCATCCTATTCTTTTTCTTCCTGGCCCTCATAAGAAGTTTTAGTTAAGTATTTTTAAATGTCATCTTCCCTATTACTATTAGAATATAAATTATATGTATATAAAGTCTGTGTGTATACCAAATACCTAAAACAGTGTAGTGCAGTGGTGCGAACTTGGCTCACTGCAAGCTCTGCCTCCCAGGTTCACACCATTCTCCTGCCTCAGCCTCCCGAGTAGCTGGGACTACAGGCACCCACTATCACTCCCAGCTAATTTTTTTTTTTTTTTTTTTTTTTTTTTTTTTTTTTTGTATTTTTCAGTAGAGACAGGGTTTCACTGTGTTAGCCAGGATGGTCTCCATCTCCTGACCTCATGATTTGCCCGCCTTGGCCTCCCAAAGTGCTGGGATTACAGGCGTGAGCCACCGTGCCCGGCCAAAACAGTGTATTATTTCTAAGTGCCATGCCTGGCACTCATTAGGAGCCAAACAGAATGATGGTTGATTGAATGATAGGTTTGGACCTAATAGTTTGGAAGTATATATTTATATTGCTGGTAGATATGGATAATTGCTCATTCAACTAGTTATGTTGCACATATGCTAAAAGACTTTTGGGTACGTGAAATGTATAAAAGTTTATGTTTTAGTGCATTTGAGGTCCTAGCTAATTTACTTCAGTTGTAAGTATGTAGTCATAGAAAGCCTGTGTCACATCTCTACATGACCCCAATATATTAATTAATTGTAACATAGGGAATCTAATCTCTGCAATTGACCTAATATCTCTTAGAAGATATTTCCTTTTAGATTAAATATCTCTTTAAAGACTGTTTTATATGGTGACTTGGTACTACATGGTACTTAAATGCCATGTCTTATTTAATTAAATACTATAACATATTTGCTTTGTTCCTGTATCTCTACGTCTTGCTTAATAGGATTCTTTCATTTTGCTTTTGGTGATTATAGGTTTATGAATATTCCTTAACATTTAACATTTCTAATTACTCAAACTGTATGTAGTATAATTGCCATTTTGGGGGGTACTCATTCTTCATTTTATTCTTTCAGCCAGTATTTACGGAGTAGTGTCTTCCATATTGATTATACATGTTGAGACTAAGGAAAAATGATTCCTGTTCTTCTAAGGCTTTGTTTGTTGTGTTAATATTTTATCATGTGTATTGCATTTATCATTAGCAAAAGATAATCTGTCCTGTCATGCATTTATTTTATAGATGCTCCTGAAGTTTCGGTAACAGGGTATGATGGAAATTGGTTTGTAGGAAGAAAAGGTGTTAATCTCAAATGTAATGCTGATGCAAATCCACCACCCTTCAAATCTGTGTGGAGCAGGTAATGTTATATACTTTGAAAGAGAAATTATCTAAAAGTGAAACCTTCTTAAATCCCCATTAAAAGTTGTTTTTATCTGTATAATACACGATTATAGTAATAGCAGAAAGTGAAAATTTTAATTAAATTTTCTGTCTTATCCTGCCCTACCTGTCCCCACCTTCCTACCCCCTCAGTTCTGATCTTTTGAGGCTACTTAAGCAATTTTAGCAGTTTCTTGTGGTTAGTTGCAGTCAGAGGTCTTAGGCTGCTACTACTTAATAGTTTTTGACATTGTCTGTTGACTTCTTAGATAAATAATTATAATTTTATGTCTACTTCTTCATTTACAAACACACCCATATACACACATTCCTACCTTTCATAGTCCAAATGAAATTTTAGCGATTTTTAGTTAAACTCAGTAATCACTGTTTGCTTCTCTAGGGCAGGTAAATGTTACGAAGAGCTAAGACATATACCAGACTTCTGTTTTCTCGTCTATAGCCATTTGTTTTCCCAATGGCTAATATTTGCCTCTTTTTACTTGTGTAGTTACTATGTGCATAATTTTCTTTCTCTGAAATTTCAAACTGTTATACCAAGGTTTTTATTCGTATTTTGTCAGTATTTAGGGCCCATTTTGATCTCCAGATGTATCTGTCAACTTGAATAATTTTCTTATTTTTTGGTCATTTCCCTCTTTTTTATTCCTGTTCGTTCTTTTTGGAACTCCTATTTATTGTATAATAAATATCTTTTCTTTTATATTTTCAGATGGTCTTATTCTTCCTAGAAGGTTTTCTTGATTTTTAAAAAAATTTTCCATTGACTTAATGATATAAAAAAATTTTTTGGCCTGTTTTCAGTTTTTAAGAGCATCTTCTCATGAGATGGAGCATCTTCTTATTGAATATTCTTTGGAGAATGAGAAGATGCTCTTATAAACTGAAAATACGCCAACTATAAAAATACGTTGTTTTCATAGCACCCTTTTCTTATTTTATGAGTGTAGTATCTTTCTTGTTTCTTCCCAGGGATACTGGAGTTACTTCTTCCCCAGAGAGAGTTTTTTCTGCTTTCTACATACTGTCTCTTTTCCCTCCAAGTTCTTTTGTTTTTTTGGTTTGGTCTTTCATTATGTAGATATTTCTTAATTTTGTTGGTTGTTTAGTCTTTCACAGTGAAACATTAAAATAAAATGCTTAGTGGATGCTGTCTCTGTAGTGGGGATTGCTCATTAGATTCCACTTAGAGTGATCAGGTAGAGATGTGATTATTTTCCTGGGGAGACTCCAGATATCACTAATAGAGTGGAAGTCTTTATTTTGTGACCATTCAATTTATTTCTAGAATTAACCTCCATTTTTTTGCCCGAGAGATAAATGTCTGGTATTTGTACAGAGTCAGGAGGAATCTGTTGTTTTGTAGTGTATCTTTTTACTTGCTCTTGGCCTCCTTCTGGTTTTCTGAGGTACACTGAGTTGAACTCCAAAATTTTTGTTTGATTCTTTGGACCAAATTGGCTGCTTTCTCATCCATGTGCTTTTCATAAGCAACCCTTAACCCTAAAGTACAACTTTTCAACTTTGGCACTATTGATATTTTAGGCCGAAATTATTTTTTGAAGTGGGCAGTCCTGTGAATTGTAGGATGTTTTGAAGCATCCCTGGGTTGAGAAACACTGACCTAAGGCATATATTGTTTTTTAAATCTATTTTCTGTCTTCGGAAAGTTTGTTGAAACATCTTGTCTGTTGAATTCTGCCTCCTGTTTTCTCCTCTAAGGTTTTTAATAACTTTTTAATTTCTGTTCTCTTTCTGGTGGGATTTTATGGGAGTTAGGAAGCACTATATGTGGTCAATCAGTTGTCTTTAAGCATAGATACTATTTTAAAGGTAGAGAAAAATTTTCATTTACATTTTTAAAAAATGGGAAGCAATCATTAGTTAAGATTTTTATTTGATAGAGTATTTCTAAAAGCCGTACAATTGTGGATTCTCATCCCAGTGTCTTAACTTCTATATGTCTTTTTTGAGTAAGTCATTTAACCCCTCTAACCCTAAATTTCCTTGCCAATAACTACTTCGTAGAGTTTTTGTGAGGTACAGACAGTGAATAGAAGTCATGTAACCTAGACACAAGGGCATAGAATATGCTTTTGTTATAGGTTTAATGTGATATTTAGATATTTCTCACTCTAAGTCATTTTACAATTTCTCAGAGAATTAAAGGGATTAAAACTTCGAGCCCAAAGTACAAAGGTAATTGTTAAGACATATGTAATTTATTTTCATTGTTATTCTTGTAGAAAGAATTTACCTTTTGAAAGCCAATACTTGCAAAAATTTTCTTTCCAAAGCCTTCTAAAGGAAAAGGTTGGGTGCTTTTATTTTTGTTTCTTAAGCCATGTAAGCATATTATCTTTATCCTTCAGTGCTGAATTAAAGTACTATCAACTCTAAAAGATTTTACAGATTATTTTACCACTCACTGCACTCGAGATTGCAAAACAAAATTATTCTATCTATTCTTTGGTATTGATTTGCTTCTTTCCACTTTTTTATTATTGTTCTTATTCCCTGTGTAATAATTTATCAATCTTCTGTGTACTTACATAATTGAAAATAGAGACTATGTTTTATTTACTTCTATATCTCAGCACCACCAGCAAAGCAGAGTATGGCAAATAGTAGGCTCCTAGTAATTGAATGAAGGAATAAGTGAATAAACTTTTTGAAAATCTACTTAGCCTAAACTGTAGTAGTTGAGACCTAGGTTTACTTGACTTTTTAATCTTCTTTTTTTTTTTTTTGAGACAGAGTCTCACTCTGTCACCCAGGCTAGAGTGCAGTGGTGCCATCTTGCCTCACTGCAACCTCTCCTTCCTGGGTTCAAGTGATTCTCCTACCTCAGCATCCCAAGTAGCTGGGATTACAGGCACCCACCACCATATCGAACTAATTTTTGTATTTTTATTAGAGACAAGGTTTCACCATGGTGGCCAGGCTGGTCTCGAACTCCTGACCTCAAGTGATGTGCTTGCCTCGGCCTCCCAAAGTGCTGAGATTACAGGTGTGAGCCACTGTGCCCGGCCTTATCCTCTTACTTTAATGAAAAACAAAAACAACAACAACAAAAAAAACACCTTCAGCTTTAAAAACACTTATTTGTTATTTTTTTATTTTTTTTTATTTTTTGGTATCCTCTGGTTAGAAAAGTGATTTTTAGCAGTGTGCTTAGTTCCATTACAGTGAATGGCTTTAGAGTTTTCATAGTGGGACTCTACATGATTTAGAGCTATATGTATACTAGGTATAGGACCTCTTAGCCAAATTAGTGTAAATACTGTTTAAAAGACTTATTATTGATACCACATGGTGTCTTGGTTTTTATTGTCACAGATGCCCACCTTACACATGAAATTATTTTATAAGAAGACCCATTTTGCTGCTTTAGAAACTATCTTTGGATGGAGCACAGTGTCTGCATTAGCATTAAATGATGCTCTATAAATATGTTATAGAGGGTGCTAAAACATTATGTATTTAAGTAGGATGACTTTGCATGAAGAAAATTGTAGATTGTGTCATGAATAGATCTCTGATTCAATGAGAATTTTAATTTACTTGATATGGTATGTATGTCTTCAAATAGTATGTTTTTCTAACTTCCAGTTTTCTGAATAAAACTTTTTTAATTATATTTTTTCTCTGCTTTTCTGCTGTTTTATTATGTTGGCAGTGCCACTCTTACATGGACTGCTATTTTGGAAGAATGGGTGTTCTTAATGGCCTTTATTAGTTCATCTTTATTAAAATGAAAATTTGTTACTTTTTTTATACTTTCATACTGAATTTTGTCTAAAAGATGCTTTTTTATTTTGACTAGTATCTCAAACATATAATGTCTCATTTTAACTAGCTGTCAATAAATATAGTCTGAAGATATTTAAAATAATTTTATGCATTTTAAAATCTAGGTTGGATGGACAATGGCCTGATGGTTTATTGGCTTCAGACAATACTCTTCATTTTGTCCATCCATTGACTTTCAACTATTCTGGTGTTTATATCTGTAAAGTGACCAATTCCCTTGGTCAAAGAAGTGACCAAAAAGTCATCTACATTTCAGGTAAGTTACTATCTGCTTACAAAATGGGTTATTTAAAATATTTCTGAATAATCATAACAACAATATGCTGCAATTATTTATACTTGTAAAGATAACAGTTCCTCAGAGTGAAGTTTTTCCAAATAATCGAAAAGGAATATGATAAAATAACCCTATCCTGAGATAGCTATGTAATGTGACATCCGTTATTAAAATATCAGTGTCTATGCAACAAGTTTATATACATTTTGATGCCTGTACATATAGTTAATTTTTCAGTTCAACAGTACTATTTCTCTAATACGTAGTATGACTTTCTAGATTATTTTATCTTTAAGAACAAATAGTGATTTTTTTTTCTTTTGCTTTGATGGCCACTTTGTACACAGTTGTTTAATAAAATGGAATATTAAATTTGATGACTTGGCTTGTGAAATAACATTGTTTCCCACTTAATATGGGACTATACCATATTGTGTTACCAAGAGGTGAAACAGGAATGCTACTTAAAATGTGTTAATGAAATAAAATGTATGATGTTTTTTATTGTCCTTCAACCACTGATAGCTTAGATTTTTCACATTCTGTTTGTGTCACTGTGAATATTTTTGTTAATTTGGCTGAGTATAAATTTTGGCATTCATAAAATAGCTAAAAATACATCTTTTCCTGGTTGTGGCTGCAAGTAATAAATTATCAATTGAATGCTTATTTATAAAAATTCAATAAAATATTATGAGCATCTCCTTACTGATTACAAGAATGTAGCCATCTTCCTGTCTAACAAATGGAAAATTAAGAGGGAAAAGGAAGAGAACCTAAGAAACACAGGTTTGTGTGGTAATTATGGAATAAATAGTTAAGGGTTTTACCTTTGTTCAAATCTAAAACTAGATAAATTAGAGGTTTTGGCGAAATTTTGTGCTTCCTTAAGTGTTATATTCTCCGTCCTTGTGTGATCAGTCTAAGAACGGTACCATGTATTAATGTGTTATTGTCTTATAGCACTCACCAGTTTTTAGTTGTTTGCTCATTTCCTTGCTTATTATTTATCTTCACAATTCAGCAGTTTGTGCTTGCTTTATTCATGACTGTATACTCAGCAGTGAGCATTGTGCCTGGCACATTATAGAGGTGCAAACTTTTTTTTTTTTTTGCGTGACTCTAGCAAGAAGCTTAGAACTGTATGCATCCCTAGCCCTTTCTGCAGTTATCAGTGCTTTGGTGGAAATCTGTATTTTTTTTTTTTTTTTTTTTTTGAGACATGGTCTCGCTCTGTCGCCCAGACTGGAGTGAGTGCAGTGGTGTGATCTCAGCTCACTGCAACCTCTGCCTCCCAGGCTCAAGCAGTCCTTCACCTCAGCCTCCAGTAGCTGAGACTACAGTTCTCAGCTGGGCACCACTATGCCCAGCTGATTTTTGTATTTTTTGTAGAGACGGGGGTGGTCTCTCTATGTTGTCCAGGCTGGTCTTGAACTTCTGAGCTCAAGTGATCTGCCCACCTCTACCTCCTAAAGTGCTGGGATTACAAGCGTGAGCTACTATGCCTAGCTGGAAATCTGAATGAGGTTACATATTAGTATATTACTCTCTCTCTCTCTTTAGAGAATAAGCCAGGGAAATGCATAGTTAAAATATACTTAAGGACTGTTTATTTTGTGTTTCTGTTGTACAATTTGGTGTGGGTTATTACTTGTAAACCTTAGACCCAATATGTCTATGTAATCATTTAAATATCAAGGCTTGGCTGGGCGTGTTGGCTCACACCTATAATTCCAGCACTTTGGGAGGCTAAGGCAGGCAGATCACCTGAGGTCAGGAGCTTGAGATCAGCCTGGCCACCACGGTGAAAACCTGTTTCTACTGAAAATACAAAAATTAGCCAGCAAGGTGGTATGCGCCTGTGATCCCAGCTACTCAGGAGTCTAAGGCAGGAGAATCGCGTGAACCTGGGAGGCAGAGGTTGCACTGAGCCCAGATCGTACCATGCATGACAGAGCGAAACTGTCTCAAAAAAAAAAAAAATTTAAAATAAATTAATAAATATCCAGACTCATTTTGGATGCTTTTGTATGTTCTGATTTAATTAATGGTATCCTAGATTTATACTCTTTTATCATTCTGAGTTCAGTGTTAAGTACTCTTGACTTGTGTGTCCAGTTGCCTATTAATGATCATTAACTCTATGTAGTAGTTTAATAGGTATTTACAACTTAACATATTCAAAACAGAGGTCCTGATGTTTCTGTTGCTCCTTGATACCAAACATATTTCTGTACCCATCTTCCTTCTTTCAGTTACTGGTACTTCTTTCCTCACATTTGTTCAGGATACAACCCTTGATAGTTATTCTTGATTTTGCTTTTTCTCTCACACCCTAGTTAGTTCATTAACAAATCAATACCAGCTCTTCCATTATGTTAAGTGCAGAATCTTACCAGTTCTTCAACTCTTCTACTACTGCTACTACACACTAGTCTAAGCCATAAGCCACTCTTACTTCACTATTACAATAACCATTTAATCTCCCTACTTTGCCTCTGTCCCCCTTCAGTTTGTCAGCAAATGAACAGCTAGAGTGGTTCTTTTAAAGGACATGTCAGCTCTTGTCACTCCTCTCCTCAAAACCTTCCATGGGCTTCCCATTTTACCCACAATGAAAACCAAATCCTTAGAGTTGGACTTACAAGACTCCATACAAGCTCTCCTTCCAGATGATCTCTCTAACTTCATTTCTTACATGTTTTGCTCATTGGGTGAGTCACTACTGGACTCCTTGCTGTTCTTCGAACATAGCAGGCACATTCCTACCTCAGAGTCTTTTACAGTAACTGTTTTCACTGCCTGGAATGCTTTTACCAGGGATCATCTGAGTTCTTTACCTCATTTCTTAAGGCCTTCACCTTCACCTTTTTCAGCGAGGTCTTTCTTCATGATTATATTTGAAATAAAATACCCTCCCTTCTCACCCCTTTACTACTATTGGTCCCCTTCTTTTTCTTTTTAGCACGTATTGCCATGTAAATTTTATTGTTTTTTATATGCTTCTCTGTTTTTACCGTCAGAACATAAGTCTAAACATAAAGCCTGCTTTAATTACTGCCATATTTCCATTATCTACAATGATGTTTAGCATATGATAGGTGTTCAATAAAGTTTTGTTGCATGAATGAATAAATTTGAGAATAAAACAATCAGGAATCAATTTACAAATCCAGAGTCTGCTTTTATGTAACTTAAAAAGGGAACTCAAATTTTGAGTAAATATGAACAAAATCACAGTTTCAGCACTTCCGAAGAAGTGGCATTATATGACATAATTTTGGGGGGGTTTTTTTTGGAGATGGAGGCTTGCTCTGTTGCCCAGGCTGGAGTACCGTGGCGCTATCTTGGCTCACTGCCACCTCTGCCTCCCGGATTCAAGCGGTTCTCCTGCCTCAGCCTCCCAAGTAGCTGAAACTACAGGCACATGCTGCCATGCTCGACTAATTTTTTGTATTTTGGTAGAGATGGGGTTTCACCGTGTTGCCCAGGCTGGTCTTGAACTCCTGAGCTCTGGTAATCCACTGGCCTCAGGCTCCCAATGTGCTAGGATTACAGATGTGAGCCACCGTGCCCAGCAGAGAATTTTTTATTTTATTTATTTATTTATTTTTTTTTGAGACGGAATCTCACTGTGTCGCCCAGACTGGAGTGCAGTGGCACGATCTCGGCTCACAGCAAGCTCTCCCTCCCGGGTTCACGCCATTCTCCGGCCCAGCCTCCCTAGTAGCTGGGACCACAGGCGCCCACCACCACACCCGGCTAATTTTTTGTATTTTTAGTAGAGACAGGGTTTCACCGTGTTAGCCAGGATGGTTTCGATCTCCTGACCTCGTGATCCACCTGCCTTGGCCTCCCAAAGTGCTGGGATTACAGGCATAAGCCACTGTGCCCAGCCGAGAATTTTTTTTTTAGTAATCAATAGTTAGACTTTACTTTTCTATCCAGAGTCTGTAATACAGCATACTATGCTGAGATTAGTTAACTCATCTAACAACTGCTTGAAGTATGTCAGGTGCCCTAGGTATAATGCTGCCTTTCCAGAATGACTATTTAGTAAAACTTAGTGGGCTTTTACAAGAGTAAGAAGCCACAATTCACAAAATAAATGACCAATTAATCCTTTTCATTGTTGCATGTACTCATTGTCCTCTAGGAAAAAAATTTTACTTCAGTATTAAAATAGATATTTAAAAATTTGAGAAATTATTTTTAATATATGTTAAATAAATGCATCTTAGGACTAGAGATGAAAGTTCTGCTCAGAACAGAATAAGCAACTCTGAGGGAAATTGTTCTTAATTTTGTTACACATTTTCCCATATTGATAAATGTAAGATTTTTGGATAAGAGGTTTTTGATTTAGGATTGCAATATTCAACCTCAGTTATTAAATTGTACTCTATTATATAATAGTAATACTCTCAAGGGGTATAGTAGCTCTTTGACTAGTACTTACTGACTACTGGAAACTGTGTTTTTCTGGTTTGCTTTTGATGTATATTTTTCCCTTAACACCTGTTACTTCTCTTTAACTTTAGAAAAGCAAATTTTGATATGTCAAATAAGTGCCACTATGTCTAAAACTCTTATTCCTGTGCGAAACTTGAATTTCAGGTCATATTGATGTTAGGATCCAAGTGTAGTATCATACTTAAGAATTTGCTTACTTAGCAGTCCTTAAACTTTAAAATGCATTTATTTCATATATTTAAATAACCCATATGATAGTCTAAAAGAAAAATAAGCCAATTAATTTTTATGACACTGAAAATATACCTTAGAAGACTGAAATATGCCTTTTATGGGGCATTACATGACTTGTTTTATGGTTTGGCAGAATTCATTAGAAAAGGAAACTTAAAGTTCTTCATTTGGGTGAGAAGAACTATGAAAGTCATTATATCCATTATATACTCATTTATCACACAGTCAGCAAAGAGTATGAAAAATAATATCTAACTGAAAAATGAGGAGTG